TCTCGAAAAATCGACTTTTATTTCTCGATTCCTGTCGTTCTTCCAACGGTCAACCAACAATCGGCAGGTGATAGGCATTGTAACAGATGATTCACCTGCAATAGCTGCTGCCATCACTCAGGTGTATCCCGATTCCCACCACATTTTGTGTCGTGTACACGTTATTCGCAATGTCATAAAGAGGGTAAGTGTTTCATTCCATAACATTAATCCATTTTCCGTCATTGTAGATGGTACGATCAGAAGTGATACAACTGTTTTTTCGGCTGATGTTCACTCGAACGGTTGAAAGGTAAATCAAAATCTACATAACATCATTTTGTAGTTTTAACAATTATTTATCGTTGATAGAAATATCAGACGAAACGTTTTCCCGATATGTCACAGACCACTTACTACCGAGAAAACAAAAATGGTCTACTGCTTTTCAACCATCAGCGAAGCTACTTCAACAAAATAATACCAACTTCGTTTAGACAAATCATCGAATTTGGAAGATGCATAAGCTGAATCGAAAAACACCTGTGTTATCTTGCACAGCCTCCACATGAAACTGGTGATGCAGTTGCTTGGGTTTTTGTCCTTGAAAAACAATGTTTCATCGATTTTGTGCTTACGACCCATCACCAAACGTACGTGCAGTCAACTGTCCGATGTGTGGCGCTATAACCAATTCATAGTTGTGCCGTCCACCAGCTAAATCTGCATTAATGTGATTACCGTTCATGCATTAGTAACACATTTGTAATCTATCTAATAATAGTACATTTTAGTAAATTTTAATAAGAATATTTCAGTATAGTGAAAATTGTCATTTTGTCGAATGGTCAATGAATTTAGAATTATATTTAATAATGAATATAATAAGATGATTGCACTAATTAATTTGATTATAGGTCATAGAGAAGTAAACACAATTAAGAATATTATCCGTTTTATGAATACAAAAATAAGAATTTTATATTCTTGTTTTATATTTAAAGAACCTGAAACCAGAACTGTGCGTACGTATGAAGTAAGTCTGGTCGTTACCTTTGCCTTAATTATCATTATTATCTAATGGCTTTATTCCATATTATATCTTTGGTACAATATAGAATTCTCAGCACAGGGTATTTCAACAAGTTACTTACGTAAAAACACCGTAACAAATACAAAAAAAGTGTTAAAAAAATCCCGAAAAACTGTACAACTTTTAAAATAAGAGACATATTAAGAATGCAGCTTATTGACTAGGTTAACTCTAACAACCTGTTCATCACAGAGTATATTTGCTAGGTACGGTATTATAGAACTTTTATACTTTTGCTTGCGTGCATGGATTTTAATGTAATTACGTCTCGTTCTACCAGAAGATATACAAGGAGAAAGATAAGAGTGAAGGGGATGGCTAGTATCTGATGAAATAACACCTGCCAGGAGTTTGCATGATTTTAAATGTCTATCCACAACCATATTAATTATGACCTCGAAAGATTCACCACACATCTTGCTAACTGCCTTCAGCACTCTCCGCAGTACGGCAAAGTCTTTCCTCAAAGGCCCGGGAAGGAATAATGGAGAACAGTAAAGAATAATAGGTAATATGCAAGAATTGATAAATCGTAGGAGTAAATGACGAGTAATCCCAAGAGCATGCAATCTCTTTATGCAGTAAGTCAGACGGAAAACCTTCTTCGATAACAATAAAACGTGGTAAGACCAAGAGAGATCAGAGGAAAAGGTGACACCAAGATAATTGACCTTCAACACTGTGTTTATCAAAGTCTCCAATGGCACAAGCATTATGGGATTTTAAAATGGTGTTTAGATGCCGTTCATGTCTCATGCTAATGTTAACAGCTTGATATTTAGATGGATTTAGTATGAGACCATTACCAACAGACCAACAATTAATACGAGACAAAAACTTATTCATTTCTATGGGATGTAAAGAGAAAGATATAGGCATACATACAGTGACATCATCCGCATACTTCACAAAAGTGTTTTCTGTGGAAGATGGCAGGTCATGCAGAAAAAAAAGAGAATAGAAGAGGTGAAAGAACAGCTCCTTGTGATACACCTTCCTGAGACAGTAGAGACTCTAAACCCTTTCCTCCAAACACAGTGTACTGTTCCCTTCCAGAGATGTAGGAACATAGCCAGTTGGTTGTCCAGCTGTCATTGTTGACGCTGATTAACTTGGTAAGTAAACGTTGTCTTGGTATAGAATCAAAAGCTGAAGTATAGTCCAGAAAAGCACATCGAACATACTTCTTACCCTTTTCTAAGTTGAACACTGTTGTGATGCAGAACAGCATCTAAGGTGCTTCATTTGCATATGTAAGCAAACTGATATGGATCAGTATGCTTTTTTATTGCAGGCTGAAGTGGAAGTATTAATAAATACTCATCATATCACCTTATTTATTTTACATCTGTATATTACCTTTAATCACTGTAACAAAGTCACCAATTTACTTATTATATATTGAAATTAAACGTCATTATACCTAATTGTGAATTGATACAATCGACCTTATTCATTATTAATCTGTATAATTGAGACAGAAATTTATTTCGTCAGACGACGTAGGCTTGTTCATTGACACTTAATACAACCAATATTTCAAATACTTGTCAAAAATGGTTATTATCAGAATGGATTTTGTGGAGATTTTTAGGAATTTCACTGCTTGAAATCATGAGTTAATTAAAGCTAGACCACCATGGAAAACTTGGAATTACTAGACGACCGTTTCGCCCTAGTATGGGACTCCTCAGCAGTGCGCATCCAAGATCCCGCACCCCTGAGATTCGAATCCAGGAACTATGTCTCGCGCCAGGCGCTTAACCAACTAGACCGCTGAGTCGGCATCCAACGGTGTCAATGGCTAACTTCAACCAATCCACGAAGTTGCGCCACCGTACACCATTGTCTTCAGTGAGTTGATATCTCACAACAGACCTGAACTCTCACTAGAACTGCAGGAGTGTCTCCTGAAGTTCGTCACTAATGATCAGGTGATTATTATTATAAGAATGGGTTTTGTGGAGATTTTAGAAATTTCATTGGTTGAAATCATGAAATAGTGGATGCGTACTGCTGAGGAGTCCCAGTGCTTCCAGGTTTTAAGAGAAAAATTTATGAACACAGATGATAATTGGTTTATTAATTGTGTATTAAACAATTGACTACCTTTCTACTTCAGTAATCAATATTATCAAATATTCAAATCGGTTCTCAGTTCTTTTTTCCAAAATTTTGTTGGGGACGATACATCCCAAAAACTCATAGTTTGTAATTTTATCTTTGTGGAGCTTGTATGCAGATGTATACGTGGGCATTCCTTACCACATACGCACATAGTCGATTGATGAACTTAGCGATCAAATGTTTAAAAGCTCCATGGAATATCGATATATATATATATATATATATATATATATATATATATATATTTAAAAAATTGTGTTTGTGGGCTTGCTCGTTTTCTGGCTGTTTGCAGAATATATTTCCCATACCAAACTTGGACTTCTTCTAGATAGCGGGGCTGGAACGCATAAGTAGCTAGATTACTGGCCTTTGAGTCTTGTTCTCGTTTACAGATTAAGTGAACTCGTGAAGCTTCGAACCTAACAAACTCTTTTTAATGAGATACATTTAATTAATCGTGTCAAGATAACTAACGACTTCAATTCAACGTCTACTTGATCGGAAAACAAAAACTTATCCCAATACACATTCACTAACAGTAGTATTACACGGTAGTGAAATTGAGTTTTCGAAATGCAAATTATGATATGCAATCAAAGCATTGATGCTATTTCGATTCCAACTAATCAGATTGCAAAGATGAACAGTTTACGACCAATTACAACATTATTGAAGGTGACGAAATTTTCGTTCATTATCACTTGAGTACACACCAATCACTAAACTTTCTTTTCACCCCCTACAATTTCTAAGAAATGGGTGGTAGGGAATCATAATTGCCATCCATTTAATGTCAACCCTAATAGTTTAACGCCATCACTAAATAACGATCGGGATGCAGGTGGTGCAAACGACTTATAGCTTTGATCTTGAAAAGAAACCCACTTTAGTAGACTTCTTTGGATAAAGTCTAGTGCAAAGTAAAATAATCTCGTCTTTGGACAACATACATATTCTGTATGTCATTTATTACCAACAGTTACATAAGATGCTATTTCTCCATGACCTAAGGTTCTGTAAGTGATCATTATTTATATCATTTTCTTTTAAATGAGCAAAAATCTAGTCAAAAATATGGATTCCGATAACAGATTATTCGTAATTGGGTTTTAAAGATCACAACCTGTATCTTAGTTCTGATTAGTCATCTACATTGATTTCAATAACATTAGTACAGTTTATTTTCACTGAGTCAAACTGACGGCTTCAAGATTGATATTGAAGTCTTGGTTTTGAATAACATGTAAAATGCCCTTCAGTAAACATATATATATTGTATAATGAGTAGGTAACTATTGTTGGGTTTCTATACTCTCCTTATTATGTGCTTTCAGTGAACCTATTAACTGTTGCTATATGTTTTACTAACCTTTAGTTATTGCTAAGTAATTATGTATTCTTAGCTCCGTCTTCCACCACTTATTGTATAAGTTTTAAACCATGACTAAACTGGGTAAAATAGAGAACTAGTGTGCTTCCTATTTGTGTCTTCTACTCAGCTACTTCGTTTTAAGAGGCTTGAGAACCAATAAGCATCAAGATCTCAGCTGTTAGAATAGGTCATTGGTTTTACTAACGATATAGCACGCAATATCGATCCAAATAGCAAGTTATGATAAATCAGACTTCTTAAAACAGAACAATGAAAGCATAATATGTAGACTTTATACTAACCATTACGACAGTATCTACCGGCGTGAAAAGTCGGCTAGAAAGTATAACACTAAAATTAGGTTTTATGGAAACGATTTCTCCCGCACACGTGTGCACATACACATACACACATAAAAAAGGCAGAGAGTAGAAAAGGAAACAGTATTTTGAAAAGTACAGTTATTGTATACAAAACTTCATCACTGTATTACTATCGTATATTAGATAACAATGGGTAATATTTATGCATACTAGTATTCCACTATATATTGATAACCTGACTCAGTTTTTGAATTCGATTCAGTAGAATATCACCTTGTTTAATCATAGTCTAAAAAGTAGAAAAGAGAATGGAATTAATGAAGGGACTAAAGATAATGACAAATATTTTTACATATATAACGTGTGATGTTGACAGTCTGTAATGTTATGTAGTCACCAAATTTTCATTATCAGTTAAGATAGGAGTATATATTGAAAGGTTTGAAGTAGTCAGATTATAAGATGTAACATTGAACAGTGGATTCATAATTACCATTGGATTTTAGTTCAGTGGACTAGATATTTGGCGTTCGTGCAAAGGTGAAGGTTCTGAGTTCGATCAACCGTGGTATGGTCGTGGATGTTCACTACCGAGAAGTCCAGTACTAGGAACGTAACAGCTATCCAGTGCTTTCGGGTTTTCAATGGCTGTCTACATCAGGTCAATAAGTGATCATAATAACATTCAATAATCTCCACAAACCCTCATACTGCCAATTCACGTGATAATGGGTTTGGATCGTGTAGGTAGACAGGTGTTTGGTTGACACTTATGGATGACAGCAGTAACACATCATATTTTCTTTACAATGGCTGATACCATTATTTATTGATCTATTCTTATGATGAAAATAGTATGATGTTACACGTTTTTTAGTTTATCATCCGGGAAATATGACTAAAAGAATGATGACTGCAAAATATGTACGTAATTTTAATTATTGCTGTTGTTTAAAAATTCAGTGATCTGTTATGATTAACAAAAGAAACGTCACACACGTGGCTTTTGAGTTGTCCGGGTTCGGTTATGATATTACAACGAAAATAAGAATAAGTGAATTTATTTGTCAAGTACAGGTTTATGTACTTAGTTCTTAGTTACACCTTATATGAAGATTAGTGGCACTACTAACCGATAATACTTAAATCAAAGTAGATGGAATGAAAACATCGACACTTAAAATTACAACTAAATCTTGTCAGAGGAACATATCGTTCCGATTAATCTAGTCTTCAGTGACAAGTCAATTCTATCGATGAAGTCGCAATGTGGCCACTTCTTTAAATAATTTGACATCATGCGTACTACATTCTTATGTTAGGTGGAATTATTTAACACACCCAACAAATGTCTTTGTCTCTGAGACCATTTAAAAGCAGGAAATAGCTGGTGTGATTCAAGCTTAGCTTGGTCTGCAATTGAGATAACTCAACTACTGGACTGAAAAAAGATGTATATATATGGGATATGACACGGTTATGGATCATATGAGGTTGCGGTTACATGTTACTGACAGTTTTCAGACAAGGGCTGAAAAACCAGCTCCTACAACTGCTTAGAGTTTTCGATTAAAATGAAGTAAATTTCACTAATAAAAACTCAATGAATTTATCCTTTGCAATGAACGCGAGAAAAATCACGGTTTAGGTAAACCCTGATTAACTAGGTGTAGTGTCCAGTACTAAGTCACACCTACATGAATTAATCTAGATTTCAGACAGACCAATTAATTTACCCTTTTAAGTTATTATCCACACACGTATTTTGATTTTGTCAATCGTCGGCCTATACCTTGACTATTTTTGAATAAGCGTACGTGTGTATCGTTTACCCCATTCATTACATTTCTTTAGCTTATTTTTGTCTGGTTATAAGTACTGGATCACAACTTATCAGACGGATTTGGCACATTTGCCTTTTCCGTTTCGCCTCATTTTCTCACTACTCGTTGTAATGTCTGTCTGAGTAAACGAATACCTGAAATAAACTCGTCCAACTCAATCCGTATACGGCTTTTCACTACTGATGTCGCACAAACGGGTTTAGCCTAGGTATAATATACGGAATTAAACGGAAGATTTACGTTGATAGCACACTAATTCGTCCAAATCGGAGTCAGATCAACGGGTCACAAAGAGACAGCTAAACAAACTAACAGATGTTTCACTCTAACCCAGAAACTTAACATACCTTTAACGATTGAATTGTGAAATTAAGAAATAAAAAACTAGAAGGATGTAGAACTAAAAAATAGGTACACAGATAGATAAATCTGTCTGATCTTAATATTTCCAGTGAAGAGTATTTTATATTTTACCCAAGTCAATTCATTCACATCATAATTTGAAAGAAAACAGATATAGTTCAGAATTTTTAATTAAACAGAAATCTTTTGAGACGAGGAGGGTTAGGAAATCATTATTTTTATCCATAACTTGATAAGTCATATTAACTTGATTACATATTCAATATAGGAAATGACAACTTCATGTAGATTGTGAAGCAGCTACTTATTCATATCATTGGAAGATAGTTGCGCGATAGTGACCTGGAGACTTAAGTTAAGTGTTCTCCACAAAGCCTGAAAGTCTTGAAATTGATCTCCTGGGGGATCATGGTTGGGCACTATTGTAGAGTTCCATGATAGAACGGGACAACTGTTCGGTGCTTCCTAGTTTACAATGGTTGCTTAACTAAGGCTAGTTTGTGATGTAAACTATTAATTTGATCAGTTAGCTAATGGTTCTAGCTTCCGAAATTCATTCATTGCAGATTTATGGGTCAGCTGTCTGTAGAGGAAGTTATTAGTTTAGTGACTTTATCAATTCCACTAAATTCGTCAACCAATTGAGACGATATAACAAAATCATAATAAACTTATTAGTCAGCAAAAGATTGAGAAAAAATTACACACTGAAATGAATTTACCTGATATTGAAAATTCAAGTTATCTGGACGTGTTGTCTCAATAATACCTGAAACCTTATCCATTTTACAAGCTAATCGACCATTGGCTATGAAACGTGATAATTCAGCATCCAAAAATGCTGGAGTTACACCAAACGATGCGGCCATACTATCTAAACTTAAACTACTGTATGAATCCAAATGTTGACTTAATGCATGAATACGCATTTCACGAACGTAGTAACATGTATGTAAGTGCAAATAACGATCACAACTCATGAACTGTTCAACTCCAGCTAAAAAAGAAAAGGGAATAAGGTAGGAGAAAATACATTGAATGATAAATGAACAATAAGAAAGTCATAATTAATAGGTGTGTAGATTAGTGATGATTGTACAGCTAATGGAACAGATTGTATATACTTGACCATGAACCAAGCTTGTATAAAGGCTAGTTAGATACTGATAGATTAAGCCAATCCGAAAGTACTCGCAATTGCCCGAGAAATGGCTTGGGTATCTAAGCAATGAGACATACATCACTGATGCCTTGGTTTTCTAAAGGACATATATACATATACGTATATAAAAGGGATAGACATAAATGTCCCTTAAGTTAGTCAATAAAAGCTTTCTCATTTATGTAGCCGATTGGGTTCATGTATAAGACGATTGGGTATCATTATTGAAATCGGACACATGTCACAATAGATATTACACGTTTGCTCAGACTAAAATAAATGAACTGTGGTTTGAATCTACGATCTACTGATAGTGAGCCGGATTAGACTGTATAGACATGGACTGATTTTTTTTTAGAAGTGATTATATTTGGGCCTTTATAGTTGTTGACTTTTATTAGGTCTGGATAATTGGGTAGTATAACATTGTGGACTGCCCTACAATTAAATTAAATAAACCTGTATGCTTGACAAAGTTGTAATTTTTTATTAATTCAAAACAAATATATACTTGTACAGATTGGGACCAAAATACATATGCTTCACACAAATAACAAAATAAGATTGTGAATGAATAGAGATAATTGGAGTGGTGAATATAATCAAAAGACAGATGAACAGAAAATAAATGGATGGGTATATAATAGGACATTTCAGTGTAAAACGGGAAGTAGAGAGGATACTTTTAGCTAAAGAAGCTTCTCTCACTTTTATGACGTAGAGAAAAATTACAACAGGACCACCACTGGCTTCTATTATGTGTTGTCCGATAGTTTTAAACCACTGTGTTGCATCATCTGTAGCACTCCAGCTACAGAGTCGTGATGGACAGATAGGTGACAGTTTTATACAGCTTACTTTCATAGAAGGTCACTACATCATAAACTAACAACCTCTCACTTTTGTTTTGGCTGTTTGAATCTTCCCATTGATGTTTAGGAATGCAATTGTCCATTCTCTGACCAACTCTGCTTATAACCACCTCTCAGTTTTTTCCACTCAGCATTAGAGTCGCCAAATAATGCACGATGTGGAAGTCACTGGGATGACATTTGTAACATATGTTCAGCTTGCAGATATCGTCTTTTCAAGACTGACTAGATAACTTTCACTGCACCCGAACACAAATTAGCGAACCTCAATATGACTAAAATGGTGTTACTACTAGATGTCAGCAATTCTTCGGAATCAAAAATGACCGAACACAGAGGACATAGATCACAAATGTCCTCCCCAACGCGCTGTAAACCTAACCTCTAACAGCCAGACTATCATCACAACAGCGCTAAAGATGAGCCAGATTGGTGTAAACTATTATGGCCTTCACTATACGTAGATTAGTCTAATAATTCAAACCATGAGGAGCAGTCACATAACTACTGAGATGGATTAACTTCTCAACTACTCCTGATAGATCACCAAGCATGGACTTCTATCAAAGCTGTTTCCAGAGTTCCATTGTAACTGAACTCTGATTTTGGTTACAGTTTTAGAGGTAAAATGTTGACAAGACCCCAAGGTGTAATGATAATTATTTAACATTAAAAGGCAACACAAGCTAACAAGTTAGACTTAAAATAAATCCATAAACTTTTGTCATGATAACGGTTAGAGACATGTTTAAAAACTTTATTGACATACTTAACTGATCGCCCGCTAAAACATTATCAAGAATAAATTAATCAACATTTAAAATTTACTACAGAACACTCAGGTTGTTGTTTTATTCGCTAGAAATTTAAAAAGTACGGTAAATAACATAAACTGACTAACCAAGTGAAAGGAAGAAGTCAGCATAACGACAATCAAATAAGGACATGAGATATTCACGTACAGTAGGTAATCCATGCAGAACTTCTTGAATTTCTGATCCACGAACAACCTGAAAGCAAATATATATATATATAACTGTAGGCATGGATTACTTTATTGAACACTGGGCGGAAACCAATGTCGTATTAGCTTATTCATCAGTGCTGATCGAATTCTATCGATGAAGTTACGATCTGACTACTAGTCCAAGTGACTCAACATGATATGCTCAATAGACAGTTAGGAGTCAACAAGAAATCCTAGGCCTTGGTTTTGCGCACGCGATACTGAACCACTCACACTAGTGTGGATGCTGTGATTTCATCTATAGAATTCGAATACCACTAAGAGACTAGACAAATATGACATTGGTTACTAATCAGTGATCAATGAATCTAAATATCTGTCCTATAGGTCGTTAATAGTCAGAAAAGCTCAGTGATAAGGTTTGAAACTATGGTGTATGTTAGCTTGTCGTGAAAAGCTAATCATCTGTCACTTAAAGATAGCTGTGAACAAGATATGACGGTAACCAATAAGTAGAGAAAATTATGACTGACAATCACATCAATTCAAAACGCCATAGTGTTTTACATCGACGTCACTTATAAGGTAAGTTGTAGTCAGCTACAGTAAATAATTTTACTACGATATTCGACTGTACAATAGTTACCACATAAAACTCTGTAATAGAATGCAGTTGCACTGAGGAATATTATGTATGTCAAAATATCATGAAGCTCAGCCCAAAGTAATATGATGTTAGGAACTATTAGGATCTCATTACCGGTTGTGACGGATTCTAACCTTTACATGGTAGCACACAAATTCACCTTATACTCTAAAAGTACAAACTTATAATATACTAATCTTTACAGTACACAAAATAGCCAACAAAGAGATAAAGTCCATTTCTAAAAACTGTCATTAAAAACAATTATCAAATGGAGGTAGGGGAAAGCGAACAAGTGTCAGATAAATTTACCTTTTCTCGAAGATCCGGGCGTTTAAGTGCAATCATTGCAGACATAACTGTATATATGATAAATGTTTTATAATCCATTAACTCATAACTAGTAAATGTGGCGACAGCATCAAGGAAGTTCTTAGCAGCAGTATCGAAATCTCGAACTGACATACTATATAAACCACGGTAAACTTTAAGTCGATTTCGTCTATCCCAATCTCCACCTTCTTCAATTAGGCTATCATTAACATTCTAAGTATTGTGCGAAAAAAGTCATACCTGTTTGCCTTTTCTATGTTCTTTGTAACCAAATCTCTATCTCCAAAAAAGAATCCAATTCGTATGATATGGAAAATTGTGTCTAATCGAAAGCCCGGCATTAAGGTTTTATCCAAAATCAGTCGAAATTGGGACAGAGAACCTTCCTGGGTGACACAAGTTACATCAGTTTACTTAAGTCGCTCATTACCTTGTCACCAATCTTACTAAGATAGTGAGCTTTTTCCATCATGGCGGTTCTGATTTCTGTATCACCTAGATTCTCTTCCGCATCTTTAATCTTTGCCTCTAACTCCTTAATTTTTGCTTCATTTACTGACTGCATAGATTTCAAGATTCGTTGGTCAATTGGTAGATTAAGCTCTTTACACACAAGTTCGTAATATGGAGCCATATCTGAAAATAAAACACAACAATCTCAGATATTGGACGATAGAGAAAGAAAAACTTATTAACTAAGGTGTGAAGTGACTGACTGGTGCTCAGTTACGTAAAGTACAAGAACTATCACAGGAAAACATTATTGGACTCTGGGTTCTTATGTCCATTAGTTTCACCAATAAAATCCCTAAATTGAACACATAAGTTTAGAAATTTAGTCATGAACCACAGACACGGGAAAGCAATGATATGTTAGATACAGGCCAAGGTTTTTTCCAAAAACTGGATATGTATTATTTTTGGACACAATGAATCAATGATCAACGACTAAACAATATAGCTTGCAACTTAGTTTTCGTAAGTATACAGACTTGGTGCAAACTGTAAAATCTACTAACTTCATCAAGGTATAAGATATTTTCAACTAAGAAGTGGAACAGAATATCACCAGATACTGTAACCAACAATAAGACGAACGTAAGGATCGAAAAATGAAGTAGGACATTAACACACTTCTATAACGAAATTCATATGACTAACGGAATGTGTGAAATAGGAAGAAGAGACTATCTGTGTGCTATAAAAGCGAGGAGACGGTTGTCAACTTGCCAGTTTATAATAAAATTAGCTTCCGTAAACTCTAGATAACTGTTAGGACCGGCGAGTTGAGGTTAAATTTCCGTCTTATTAATCCGTCAGTGTAAGATCTGGTAAAAAAAGTGTATAAGCTTAGTTCGCAATACAAAATCAGTACCACGAGGTTATATTACCAAGATGAACAGAAAAAGTCTAGACAATCGTAGTAGTATATAAAAACGCTTGACAACACTTATGGGATAATGTGATGATTTCTAGAGTGAATCGACTTATACTGACTATTCTATTTGTGCTGAAATTGGAATGTCGTTAATCTGAAGAACGCTTCCAATTTTGGCTGTAATCTATACGTATATCAACTACGTGCTGGTAGCTTTAAGATGGAGAGTCAATTTGACCTAAACGTAAAGCAACTAATGTCAAGTACAAGTTGTTGGTGTAATGGATTTGAAGGAACTTTTAAAAAATAAACGAAAAGAAACTTACTATCATCTTGAATACATTTGGTGATTTTCTCCAGAAGCTGCTTACGCAAAGGTTCAGGTGTTTTCTCTAAGCCAGCACGAAATGTCCATTGCGCTAGCTTAAGGTTAGGGATCTTCTCAAGACCTTCATCTTCCAGGCGTTCCAGAGGCATTTTATAGTCTCACACTGACCGTGCAATAGCCTTGAGAAACCCGCCGCCCCAAGGTTGGTTATCATGAAGGTTATTCACATCTCAATCAATAAATGAACGAAATATTAAAAAACTGTTCTTTTTTACTGCTCCCTCAAAAATAAGATTTATTATGGTTTTCTTATTTGTTTATCTCCGTCTCATGCTTCATAGGCGTGATACGTGTGAACTTGATTGGCGCGTGATGTTGCGATGAAATTTGTTAGAAATTATCAGTGCTAGATTCTGAAGTTAGACCTAATGTTGTTTAGCAGGCCCCTCAGCAAAAACATTGCTACCGTTTGCTTATACATGCGGTTCCGGCATCTGGTTACTAAGTTACGAAAATAGGAAAAACTGTGGAGAATTTTGGGGAAATTTCGGTGAAATTTCCTCGGAAACATGGGTGTGAATAAAGACATAGATCATTCTTGCTGCTGAAGTCTCTTCTCACCCGAGAGTGAGAAATTTTCTCTATATTTAACCATCATGGAGAAACGTTTTGAAATTAAGTGTGATTAGTTTCATTTACCCGCATATGCAAGCGATATAGTCGTCAATATTAGGACAGTGCATCTACGATTTGTGGCAAGTAGACTGTTCACTAAAATTAATACGATTGTACTTTATATTTTCACTTTTATTCCTCTGTGGTTTTTGAATCAATTTATGGTTCCTTTGTACTTGTTGAATGCTAGATTTCGAATTCCAAACACAATACATTCGTTTGTGCTCATCTAGTACTTCTTGATTAGATTGCATTATTTCCGGGATTCGTAGTTCATTCGATAATTCAAATACTTTCAAACATTATATCCTCTCAGTTGTTTGCTAGAGTTGACAGCTGCTAATCAAAGAACGTTTTGTAGCGGTAAATAATTCCCAAAATAAATAGCTCTGTAAGTTTTCGATATTGGATGCTGACCACATGTTTTAATGGACTCATCTAGCTGAAGGCTCTCGGCCATGCATCCGCACCAGACCAAGTATGGGAAGGCCGTGCTTAACTGCTACTGTAATTACTAGCCAGATTAGATCAGATGATTCCGATATATTGGCAATGGTCAAATACAATTTCTGATTTCCTCGATTCTGTCTTTTGATTTCTCTTGGTGGGTACGAGTTATATTAGAAGGTGTTACTGGTAAAAGCGTTGTCAAACACTGAATATCTGTGCCATCTTCAGCTTCTAACATTTTAGGCCTACTCGTTTGTTTAAATGCAACCGTTGATGATAGAAAAGGGTTTTTAGTGACTGAGAGATAAAAAGGAAGAAGAGTGCAGTTTTGTTAATTTGTGACAATTTTGTAATATTAAACCTTGAACTCTAAATTATCGTATTGATGGATGTACACATTTTGTTAAAAGGTCCATGACTGAAAAGTCAGTAACGTAGTTCTTTGTCTTGCATTGTCAATTTTTATGGTAATACGGCTACCTTTTCATTTTCTCTGGCTTTACCGAAACAACTCATTGATTGATTTAATTTTACACTGCCTGATGCTAGGTGAATCAGGAGAGTCTATATCGACAAATAGTGTTAGACATTACAGAACACGAGCTTATGAATCATTTCAACAATACTAAACGCCTCAGTTCAAGTAGTTGAGAAGTCAAACGGCAAAGAACAGATTCATCATACTATATCGGAATAGACAGCCACGAAGAAATGGTTTGATTTTTTGGAAGAAAATTCTGTCCGTGTTTTTTCACGAGCTATTGATTTTGAGAAATGGAATCTTTTTGTTCAGGACTGAAATGTTCTGAAGTGCTTTGAGACTGACTTTTAAATGGTCACTGAAAGGATTTTTCCACTTATATTTAAGTACAATCTGTGTTTGCCCAGATTTGTGGTGTTTTTAAGAACAAGGCTTTCGGTGATTGGTACACTATATTAGACGTTCATATGTATTTGCTTTTTATATCTCGAAGTTGCGAAAACTTTTTAGTCATCTAGTCGTAACGTTTATAATGAACACGAGGACCACACGGAGTGTTCGTCAGTCGAAAGCAAAAGCTAGATAGGCTTAAACTAAGTTAAGGTGAAATAGTAGAGTGATTTTTCTTGCGCTTGTAGAGGTTAAAAAACCCATCAAAGTGAATAGCTCTGTAAGTCTTCGACACTGGATGCTGGCCATATTAGTTTTAACTGACGCACCTAGCTGAAGGCGCTCGGTCATGCATCCGCACCAGATCATGAGTGGGAACCCCGTACTCAACAAACCCTGCAATCGCTAGCCAGATTAAATCAGTCGATCCTCGATATATTGACAGCCCATCAAATATATCTTTGAACCTCCTTACTTCTGTCTTTTGATTTCACTTGGTGAGTACGACTCATATTAGGTGTTACTGGTTAAAGCGTTGTCAAACTCCGAATACATTTGGCGTCTTCATTGGTGAGCCCGACGTGATCTGATGCACGAAATTGCAAACTGTGAGTCTGTTCCTTTTTGGGATTCTATATATCATTGTCATATTTTAATTTTTTATACATTGTGATATTTTTTTCGTGTTTTTGGATATCTATATATTTTTTCTCCCGTTCATTCTCTTACTTGATACTTCACTATAATTGAACAGACACCCAAGGTGCTTAGGCTAAAGACTGTGTCCCCACCTTCGTTCCAACTGACGCCCTTCTGGCCAGACAACATCGAAGCCTGGTTCTGCTACGCAGAAGCCGACTTCTAAGGACACAGAGTGAACGACACACGTGCACAAGTCCTCGCAGTAGTCAAGGCACTGTCGCGCGAATTCGACAAGTACGTAACACCTAGTATGTTTACTAGTGATGTTTCGAAACCCTACGAAACACTCAAACGCGCGGACCTAACCGACCGACAAAGTTAGACCAATTTCTTAATAATATTGACTTTCAACACAGTTCTGCGACAGACATGTTGCTAAGATTGAGAGAGGTTATCGGCCAAAGAGTCTTCGATGATGGCCCATTCAAACAGCTTTTCTTATCCAAACTTCCTCAACAGGTGCAAGCTGCGCTGGTCTCGGTTCAAAACAACGCCTTAGACAAGCTGGCTGCAACTGCTGAATGCATCCTTAAAATCCCGAAATTTTCTGATGCCGAGGTTTTTTCAGCCAAAGTAAAACCTCAAAGGGATCCAGAATGACGTTACGGAATTATGTCATACTTTTACACGTTATCTTAGATATCGTAACGATCGTAAACGGTCACACACACCGCGAAGCACTTCACGTAAGCCACCTGTCTCTAGACCACAAGAGATAGATAACCCCGACTGGTGCTGGTATCATAATCAGTATGGAAAGTCCTCCAGAAATTGCAGAAAACCCTGCAACTTTCCGAACCCAGAATCAACCGACACAAATAACAATTCGGGAAACTTCTAGGCCAGCACGCATTAATGGCAACCGCAGCCGGCGAACATAGCCGTCTGCTGTACGTCACAGATGTGATAACGAGAGTTCGCTACCTCACCGACACTGGCGCAGAAGTTAGCGTTTTCCCAGTGAATTCTAATGACCGGCTCCACGAATCGGTTTTGATCCTACAGGTGGCAAACGGAAAGCCTATCGCTACATATGGTAAAAGGTACGTTTACCTTAACGTGGGTTTACGCAAATACGTCCACTGGATCTTTGTTGTTGCAGATGTTTCTATGCCGATCATTGGCACAGACCTCCCGCAACACCACAACCTCATCATCGATACTCGCGAACGGAGGCTAGTAGACGGAAACAGTGGTTTATCTGTATGCGTAACTTCTTTTTCTTGTTGCAGATTATCTCCAGTCACACTTAGGCACACGATAGACCCATTCTATCGGGCATCACTAGATAAGGATTCTGAGATATACCAACTGCAACCGAAATTACTGTGTGTAACCAGCAATGTTACACATCACATCATGACTGCACTAGCTCCTGGATTCTGAAAAGCGCAACGACTGCCTCCCGAAAAGCCGAGGTTGGCTAAAAACGAATTCCATCACATGACACAGTTGGAAATCATTCGACCGTCAAACAGCCAATGGGCATCTTCGTTGCACATGGTCCCTAAAAAGGACAGCAACGATTGGTGTCCAACTGGTGACTAACGGCAACTGAATGCAAACACCATTCCCGATCGTTACCCGTTGCCTCACATTCACTACATGACAGCTATCTTGAAAGGTACAACTCTCCGAAAATCGACTTTGTTAAAGCTTATAACCAAATTATCATGGCCACGGACGATATTCCCAAAACCGCTATTATAAATCCCTTCGGACTTTACGAATTTTTGCGCATGGCATTCGGCCTAAGAAATGCTGCTCAAACTTTCCAAAGATTTATAGATGACGTTTTTTGATGTCTCAACTTGAGACATGTGTATGTTGATGACTGATTAATAGCATGTCCGGACAGATGGTCTCATCTTCAAGAGTTCTGTTTTCAGCTATATGAAAGTTGATAGTATACCATAATGTAAACCGACACCATTAGCTTAAAATTGGTAAAGTTTGACGAGACTGCAACCACGGAAACGAGATATGATAAACAGCTTAGACTCTATTTATTTTGTGTACATAACAGATACCCGTATTAAGCTGTAAATTGTGGTCCATGTCAACAATACATTAGACGGTTTTCAGTCTGAACGTGAACTTTTAGTCCCCATTTTTTATACCATAAATGGCAACGATAATAAAATGTTATTCATCCTTAAGTGTATAACTTATACTTAGGCCAATGTCATTATATTTACGATTCAATAATAAAAGAGTCACTACCGATTTGGCTAGGTGGCTTATACTGGATTTAGCGATCGAAATACCAATATTCCATCTGAACTCAGAACTAACGGGCCAAAGTTTATTCCATTAGGCTAAACTACGTATTTCTGTACAGAATACGAAGCGGTTTTGGGTAATTCGTATAAATTATATCAAAACACAAACTCGGTGTTCAATTTAAATGGTTCTAATTTAGAAATAACACGTAATATCAAAGGTACAGAATTCCTTAAACGGTAAAACCGATGCCATATAGCCAGTGGTTTCTCTAGTAAAAGGTAACGTGCCA